CATGGTGTTCCGTATCTGGTGTTCTGAGCTGCCAACTAAAGGGATGAGTACAGACGCCAGATATTTGGAAACATTGTAAGTGACAGAGTTAATCATACTAACAATTGGTCTTAAAGGTACATCTTGTTTGTGGATTTTAGGTAAACCATACAGACTAGGTGTGGCCTCCCCTGGGTACAGTCTGTGGTACAGAATACGGTCAATAGCCTTGTCCTGCTCCAAAATTTTCAGGCAATCTTTTAACTTTTTCTTGTAACCACTTCCTGGATCTCTTTTCAGAGGTTCGTAAGTGTTTAAGTCACTAAGGAGTGTCATAACTTTCTCATGATAGTCTTTCTGGTTCAAAATCACTGTACACCTTCCTTTGTCTGCTGGGAGAATGATGATGTTTTTGTCCTTGCTAAGAGTGGTGAGTGCATCCCTCTCCTCTCTACTGATGTTGGAAGGTGGTGGTTTGGCATTGCTGAGGCAGGATGAAACTTTGATTCTGAGCTGTTCTGCTTCAGCCTCTTTAATTTTGTTGTTGCGGATGGCTGACTCAGTAGCTGTGATCATCTCCACCAGAGGAATTCTACTTGGTGCAACCGCAAAGTTCAGTCCCCTGGCAAGAATCTCTGTCTCTGGCTGGGTGAGCTGTCTGTCAGATAAATTCTTCACCCACTTTTCTGTCTCCCTGGCATGTAATTGACTACTGGAGTGTTGTCAATCAATCAATCAATCAATCAACTTTATTTATATAGCACATTTTAAAAACCACAAGGGTAGCCAAAGTGCTGCACAATAAAACAATAAAAACAAACAAAACAATAAAAACATACAAAGCATACACAAAGAAACATAAAAACCATTCACATACCAGTTTCACAGCAGGTGTATTAAAAAGCCATAAAAGATAAGATCACGTGTTAAAAGCCAAAGAATAAAAGTGTGTCTTTAAAAGAGATTTAAAAACAGGAAGAGAGGAGGCCTGTCTGACACTCAAGGGTAAAGTGTTCCACAACCTGGGAGCAACAACAGCAAACGCTCTGTCACCTCTGAGCTTCAGCCTAGTTTTAGGGACTGTCAGCAGCAGCTGATCAGCTGATCGTAGGGATCGGGGTGGACAGTAAGGCTGAAGCAGCTCAGACAGATATGGTGGGGCAAGGTTGTTCAGACATTTAAAAACAAACAGCAAAAGCTTAAAATTAATTCTGTAGTGCACAGGGAGCCAATGAAGGGATGCCAGGATGGGAGTAATACGCTCGCGCCTACGAGCCTGAGTTAACAGGCGAGCAGCAGAGTTCTGCACAAGCTGCAAACGAGCAAGAGACGTCTGGCTAATGCCTGCATACAGCGCATTACAGTAGTCAAGACGAGCTGTGATAAAAGCATGAATTAATTTCGCCAAGTCAGGTCTTGCTAGGATTGGTTTCACTTTTGCTATTTGGCGGAGCTGATAAAAACTTTTCTGAACAACACTGCTGATCTGTTTTTCAAATTTAAAATCAGACTCAAACTTCACCCCCAGATTGGTGACACAGTCCTTGAGATAAAATGACAGTGAGCCAAGATCTATGCTGGGAGAGGAACGGCAACTTGGTCCAAACATCATAACTTCAGTCTTGTTCTCATTTAGACTAAGGAAGTTAAGAGAGAACCATGTCTTAACATCATTAAGGCAGTGTGTAAGTTGTTGAACTGTGTTGTTTTGTGCCATGGGAAAATAGATCTGGCAATCATCAGCATAAAAGTGAAATAAAATGCCATGCTTCCTAAAAATCGAGCCAAGGGGGAGTAAGTAAAGGGCAAATAAAAGAGGGCCAAGGATTGAGCCCTGGGGGACACCATGTGGAAGAGGAGCAGTGGAAGACATAAAATTGTCGATTTTTACGCAGAAACTCCTATTGGTTAAATATGACCGAAACCAATTGAGGGCGACACCCCTGATGCCCACACAGTGCTCAAGACGAGAGATTAAAATGCTGTGATCAACAGTGTCAAATGCAGCAGACAAATCAATGAATGTGTTGTTATTGGAATAGTGATGGTGTTGATGAGCTATTAGTACGTTAAACTTGTTTTGTTGTCGAGTCTTGGACTTGACATGCTGTGCTAAGCGTGCCTGATCTGTACAGTCCAACACTTGCTGAAGTGTGGTCTGATCTAGACACGTTAGTTTCTGTTTAATGTGCTCTTCTTTGGCCTTCAAGGCCTCAATAGTAAAATTGGTCTGTCTCCTGACAGACCAGTATACTGAAATATTATCTTGACATTTAAGTTTGTTCTTGTAAGATGTATTGAATTAGTACTGGGCAAAAATGCAATCTCAGACATGCCCTCTCAGTTTTCTTGAAGAAATGCCAGTTTTCTTGCTGACCATTAGAGCTCAAAATATTTGTTACAAGTGGCTCAGCTACTACCACACCAGATTTTACCATGATTTCTGTTAAACTGAGAAGGTTAGAGCCGTCTGTGTGTTTGCTAAGGTCGTTTAGCTGTGGCTGTCAGAACCCACACACAAAATAATTATTCTAATCTATTTGTTATTTATTACATTCTAATATTTGTGTTCAGGTTTTTTTAGGCCATAAAAGTTAAGAGGGCTAAAGCCGGGTTCATGCTGCGCAAACTTCAGCTAGGATACACAAAACATTTTGTTGTGAAAGAATTATTAGAAAATCTTTGGTTGTGTGCCTGAAATGGCGGTCTTCAGCTGTTTAATGTGACAGAATAAATAACAGCATCTTTAACTTTCATGGCAAAACACAACCTCCAACAAATATCAACTAACATCAGAAATCTGGCTAAAAATCCTGCACTGTCGGTGAACTTACCAAAGCAATGGATGTGTAGCTTGCTTCAGAGGGAAATGTGAAAACAGTTGCTGTAGTCACAGGACTACTAGGAGGTGGGGTCACAATTAGTCCAGTTGTGCAAATATGTACCTGTCAACAAAAGGAGAAATGTAGAAATTTAACATCAAGAAAAGACAAGTGTTCCTCTAAACATTTGTCTTAAGTTAACACAAGGCAAGTGCGTCAGAAGCATCCGTAATGTTGGGGGGACATAATGATGTGTGTAGGTGTGTGTGTGCGCGTGCATGTGTTCGCGCGTTAAAAAAAGGTGTTCACTAGTGTACAAAAAAGCAACATTTCACCTAGATTTCCTTTAATTCCACACATTCAAAACAAGTTTCTCACCAAGTTTGTGTAAATTCAGCTGTGGGTTTAAAGTAATTTTAACTTTAATACACTTTAATACAGAGCGTCAGGTCGGCACTATTTGTGTTTATAGAGAAATAAACATCACCACTAGACATTTTTACTTGTGTTCAACACTACTCATCTAAATGATGTTTCTCATGAAGCTTGAGGACAATAAGGTGTGGGGTTTTAAAGACATTTCAACTTTAATGAACCTGAACACACAGCGTTTCTTACACCTGCAGCGTCTTACAGCGCCACAAGTTACCGCTAAGCTAAGATGCTACAGACGTAGCACTCCTCTCAAGAATCCTCCTAACATGAATATATGTTTATGATCAACCACACACACACACACACACACACACCCCGGTCAACAACTGCCCGCACAGATCTCACTAAACTGGCGAGCGAGTAACACAGAGGTGTCTCCATCTCCTCCACCTGTGCGCGTTTTCTGCGGAAGCAGGAGGAGATGCACAGAAACACTGCAGGTGTTACACCATATTCTGTGACCACCGTATATTGTGACCGTGGCAACAGGCTGCTGTGTTTAGAGTTGGAAGTAACCAGGAAAACCTGAAGTGGAGTTTTAGTGGTTTGAGTATTCTCCTATTAATCAAGTGGAATGGATTTGTTCACGAAGAAAGAACCTGCACCGCCAGAACTAATGTTTCATAGTAAAAGTGTGTGTGTGGGTGGGATGTGGTGGTGGTGGGGGGTCCAAATGAACGTTTTTTTTAAGGTGGGGGGGACTTGTCCCCTTCACATATAATGGTTGCGACGCCTATGACACAAGGACACACTGATCATTAAAAACTCTCAATATTGTCTATATTTTATGAAAACAAAACTCTCTTGTCACTAAATGACCCACTGGATAGTCCTGCTATTCTGTGACTTTGTTGCATGATGTGACTGGTCCAAAAAGTCAGGTGACTGCACCAAAGAACATTTCTTTGGATCTTTTATTAGCGGGGACTTTCCCAGTTGGTCGTCCACGGAAGTCTTGATGGTGTCGTGGTAACAAAGCAAAAATACTGACACACAATCTTCCCCTGTAGCCCGCTCCCTCACCAAGGATGGCTGCTTCAGACAGATCCACCTCCTGAGATGAATCTCACAGAGAGCAACAGTGTGCTCAAAACTGTCTGGAAAATGGCTACACTAAAATGTACCCTACAATGTACAATGTACACGACAATATACAATGTACACTACAATGTACACTACAACATACAATGTACACTACAACATACAATGTACACTTCAATGTACCCTACAATGTACAATGTACACTACAATGTACCCTACAATATACAATGTACAGTAAAATGTACACTATAATATACAATGCACACTAAAATGTACACTACAATGTACAATATAATATACAGTGTACACTACAATGTACAGTGTACACTACAATGTACCCTACAATGTACAATGTACACTGCAATATACAATGTATACTACAGTGGACACTACAATGTACAATGTATACTACAATGTACATTACAATGTACAATGTACACTACAATATACAATGTATACTACCGTGTACACTACAATGTACAATGTATACTACAATGTGCATTACAATGTACACTACAATGTACATTACAATGCACTATACATTACAATGTACAATGTATACTACAAAGTACACTACATTGTACTGTACACTACAATCTACAGTGTACACTACAATGTGCAATGTACACTATAATGTACAATGTACACTACAGTGTACACTACAGTGTCAATGTATACTACAATGTACATTACAACGTACATTACAATGCACTGTACACTACAATGTACAATGTACACTTGTAGTATGTCAACGGACAGCTTTGCTGTGGACATACAGTCCACCATTTGTAGTAGTCAAGGTGGGGGTCAGCCTTTGCTGTCGCTTCACTACTAATTATTTAAATATAACGGGTTCTTTCTTTTTCGAGTTAAATTAATGCCATGTGACCGAGGTAACTGTGAGTATTATTTAATCAGTGACATGAGACGTTATTTTCCTTTGACCCATCAGAATAAATGCGGTCATTTATTTAACGGAATCAAAATTTAACATCAAAACATTGTACACTTGATTAGCTGATCTGGTTCTGATTAATAAAAACTTGGCACGCTTTACTAATAAGACAACAGGACATTTCTGAAGGCATCTAGATTACTGGCAAAATAGAAGAGTTTAAAGGAAGGAATTTAGAGGTTTAAAGAAGAGATGGATGGAGGAAGGTGAATGTTGTTGACCAGAATTAGCACGCTTCTTTCAACACCAGCTCAAACCTCCGATACACTTCAGGACATGCAGAGACTTCGTTATCTTAGAAGGGGATACCTCCGCTCCGGAACAGAAGTCCATTAGTACGTTCCTTTTACAGCGTCTCCGGTCAGGGTGGCTGGGCATCGTCAGAAGTCGTGTGGTTTACTCCGTTCAACAAACAGGACCAGCTCCCTTCGAGGTTGTAGGCGTTACGCCCGGCTGGATTCACAGTAAGTATCTGTGACTCCGTCAGAGTTTCCACTCAGAAGTGGAAGACTCCAGAAGGCTTGAGAAGACTCCATCAAAGACTGAAGAGTCAAGAAGACTCTGAAGAACTCCAAGACTGAATAGTTCCAGGAATTGTCGACTTTTAAAAAGAGTCTTCACTTCCGGTCACTTAATACTTCCTGATTGGTTGAAACAACCAACAGGGGGTGGTTCTAGTGATGTCAGAAGGTTATTAAAAGTCAAGAGAGAGTGCAAGAATGTTTAGGAACGGTTAGTACAGACAGAGAAATGTTATGAAGAAGTGAGAGAAACGCAGCTGCCAGTGTTTCTCTTTTTACCGTCTGCTAGGTTTAAAAACAATACAGTCCGTTCTAATAACTTGTTTTCTGACTGTCTCTGACTTTTGACCGACATCACTGACTTGTCATTTAGACAGTAAATCAAAATGCATAATTACTTTGTAAATAGACATTTAACTTGATTTCTAATTTAAATGAGGTTTAAAAAATCATTAATACTGTTTCACAGTTGATTTAAAATGAGTGGTTCACTTCAACATTAGAAATGATATGAACTAAACACACTTTTTGATTATCAAGATATTGTAAAATAGTAATGATAATATAAAAAGAAGAGTGTTCTTTCAATTGATTAATTCAGGATACAATTAGACAGTCTCTGGATGAGCTCATTTGTATTTCTGGATTCAAATCAATGAAATAACAGTTCCTGTCCTATGAAGGTCTTCAGAGACAGGTTTTGGTCAGAGGCCGAGTTCACTACACACTACAGTGTACACTACAATGTACCCTAGAATGAACAATGTACACTGCAATATACAATATACACTACAGTGTACACTACAAAGCACAATGTATACTACAATGTACATTACAATGTACAATGTACACTACAATATACAATGTACACTACAGTGTACACTACAATGTACAGTGTACACTACAATGTACACTACAATGTACAATGTACACTACAGTGTACACTACAATGTACAGTGTACACTACAATGTACCCTACAATATACAATGTACACTACAATGTACAATGTATACTACAATGTACATTACAATGTACACTAAAATGTACATTACAATGCACTGTACACTACAATGTACAATGTATACTACAATGTACAATGTACACTACATTGTACTGTAAATTACAATGTACAGTGTACACTACAATGTACACTAAAATGTACAATACAATGTACTGTACACTACAATATACACGACAATGTCGGGCTGCAACAACGAATCATTAAAATCAATGAAAGTCGATTATTAAAAGAGTTGGCAACAAATTTCATTAATGATTTGTTGTGTTGCGCAATTAAGCATCTCTCACGGCACTGCGGAGCCATTTTATTCCCCTGCATAGCATTGTCAATGTTGGCTGACTGAATAAAGTTTTAAATACAACTCTGCAGCGCGAGTTGAGCAAAGCGAGGGGGTAGCAGAGCAGAGGCGTGTTTTCAAAGGAAGTTAAGTAAATTTTACAAATGATCGACGCCGAGAAAACTGTTCTACCCAAGTTCTCAAAAGTTTGGGAGCACTTGACGCTGCACAAAGATAAAAACTGCAAAAAATGCAGCTTTGAAAAATGACGACATGACACGGAGCACCACACTGATGAAACATAAACATGTCAGAGTGGTAAACTAACTTCACTGCGGTGTGGATGAAGGAGCTCAGCAGAAGTAAGACTACAATATCCTACATTTGTTCTGTTTCCAAGTGACAAACATAATGTCAGTCTCTCTGGTAGCTGGTCTGAAGCTGCTGGTTGCTTGTTTGCTGATTCATGACGGTGATAGAGAACGTGTGTGTTACTTTTTATTTAATTTAATTGGTACAAGCAGTGTTTAAATGTGATTTATAATTAAATCTAACACAAAGATGGTAATAATTTAATGATTAAGCTTCAACTTTTAATTTGCTGGCAAAGTTTGAGTGAAAACACTGCAATGTATGGAAGGATGAATTGCATTTAAACAGGAATTACAGTAATTTATTACATCTACTCAAATGTGTGTAATTAAGTATTTTATGTGTGTGTGTGTGTGTGTTAATTTTTATTTCAAGTTAATTGGTACAAGCAAGTGGTGTTTAAATGTGATTTATAAATAAATTAACACAATGTATACTACAATGTACATTACAGTGTACACTACAATTGGGGCGGCTGTGGCTAAGTGGTTAGAGCAGTCGTCCTACAATGCAAGAGTTGGGGGTTCGAATCCACCAGCAGTCACATGCCGAAGTGTTCATGGGCAAGACATCGAACCCCTCATCGCCTCCGATGTGTGTCCCATCAGTGTATGAATGTGATAAAGCTCTGATTAGTCTCATTATAATGATTTGTTCAATTAGCTTTGTATAGATCTAGTAGAGTGCTGTATGAATGGGTAAATGAGGCACAGATTGTAGTGTAAAAGCGCTTTGAGTATCTTGAAACAAGATAGGAAGGCGCTATATAAGTACAGTCCATTTACCAATTACAAAGATAGTAATAATTTCATGATTAAGCTTAAACTTTTAATTTGCTGGCAAAGTCTGAGTAAAGACACTGCATGTATGGCAGGATGAATTGCATTTAAAGAGGAATTAAAGTAATTTATTACATCTACTCAAATGTGTGTAATTAGTATTATATGTGTGTGTGTGTGTGTTTACTTGCTAAGGGGCCGTTTACACGGCGCATATTTTGAGTGCATCCGCAGCTTTCTCTCTGCGGATCTGCTGATCATTTACACGACGTTGCCAAGATGGCCACGCTCAGAGCAGTTGCAGCTTCACAGGCTCCCGGTACCATCCCAGTTTTTAGAAGTTTTGATGTTGACTCTGTGCCTGACTCCGCGCGATTTATGCGTGTGAACTATAGCCGAACCGAACTGATGAGAATAGGAGCGGATTTGCCACGAAATATAGCAGAAATCAGCAACAAACTCAAAACTACGCTCGGCAGAATGCAGATCTTAAAGTCATCTACCTGGAAGCTGCAGCAGAGGCGTTCCAGCGGGCAGAAGCGGAAGCGCTGCTCCCGGCTTAAGAGGAGAGGTTGTCGGGCGGGGGTTATGGTGAGGCTACGAGCTAACGCTAAAGCCGGTAAACTCCCCATGCCGTCTCTCTTTCTGTCGAATGTCCGCTCGTTGGACAACAAGATGGATTTACTTCGTCTGAGAGCGGGCGCCTCAGAAGAGATGAAGAAGTGTGCGGTGCTTTGCCTCATGGAAACATGGATTACAAGCGAAACGCTGGATACAGTCTTCCAGCTGGATGACAGACTTTTTTTTCGAGCGGACCGCTGCAGCGAGCTAACGGGGAAATCACGGGGAGGCGGAGTATGCATTTACGTGAGTAAAAGTTGGTGCACGAACTGTACTGTTGTAAATAACTCATGCTCGAAGCCTTTGGAGCAAATAACAGTGAAATGTCGGCCACATTATCTACCCCGCGAGTTCACGGTAACTTTTATCACAGTTGTTTACATTCCTCTGGACTCTAATGCTAATGAATCACTGCAGGAGCTTCATGATATCATCAGCTCGCTGAAGAGCAAACACCCCGAGGCTCTTTACGTGGTAGCCGGAGACTTTAACCACGTGAATCTAAAGGACTGTCTCCCAAGCTTTAATCAACATGTGACAATTCCGACACGTGGAGACAAGACGCTGGACCGTGTTTACACGAGCGTAAAAGATGCATACAAAGCCGAACCCCGCCCCCACCTAGGACTGTCAGACCACATCTCAATCTTCCTGGCTCCTGCTTACATGCCCCCGCTGAGACGCTCCAGACCGGTACAAAAGAAAGTTAAATGCTGGATCCAGGACAGTGGCCCCATACTGAGAGATTGTTTTGACCGAACAGATTGGCAGGTTTTCAGAGAAGCTGCTGAAAATAGAGGTTCGCTTGATCTTGACCAATACACATCCTCAGTTCTGGGTTACAAAGCACAATCCTGGATAAATTTCAATCTGGTTTTAGATCCCGACATAGCACAGAATCTGCATTATTGAAAGTACATAACGACATAGCTCAGTCAGTTGACTCTGGGTGCCCAGTAGCTCTGGTGCTCCTCGACCTCACAGCAGCCTTTGACACTGTGGACCACTCTGTCCTTCTGTCTCGCCTCCATGATTTTGTTGGGATTCGTGGTACTGCTCTGAAGTGGTTCACGTCCTATTTATCTGATAGAACCTTTTCTATCTTGTTCAATGGCTCCTCTTCCTCTACAGCCCCTCTTCTGTGTGGGGTGCCACAGGGTTCCATTTTGGGTCCTTTGCTCTTTTCATTATACATGTTGCCACTTGGATCTATTATAAGACAACACAATGTCAACTTTCATTTTTATGCAGATGATTTGCAGATCTATTTACCATTAAGGCCAGGATCCAATAACCCAATGCTTTCTCTCTTCGACTGCATCTCTGCAATCAAACATTGGCTAAACAAGAACGTCCTGTTTTTAAATGACAGTAAAACAGAATGGATTTTATTTGGTGACAAAGATGCAACTGGCCTGGGAAATTTGGACATAAACTTCAGTGACTGTGTGAATAACCTTGGGGTGACCTTTGATAAGGCTTTACACTTTGACAAACATATTGCCTCTGTTGTCCGGTCGGGATTCTTTTATTTACGCCTTTTAAAAAAGGTCAAACCCTTTTTAAATTGTTGCGACCTGGAGAAAGCTGTTCATGCTTTTATCAGTTCTAGGCTCGATTATTGTAACGCTCTGTATGTCGGTGTACCACAGTCATCACTGAGTCGCCTCCAGCTTGTACAGAATGCAGCAGCGCGCCTTTTAACCAACACTCCTAGATGGGACCACATCACACCTGTTTTATTCTCACTACATTGGCTCCCTGTCCGTTTTAGAATAGATTTTAAACTTTTAATATTTGTTTTTAAAGCTCTGAATGGCCTTGCTCCTCCTTATATAACTGAGATGCTAAGTTTCCCCGCCCGCTCCAGATCTTTGAGGTCAGACAGCCAGCTCCTGCTCTCTGTTCCAAGGACTAAATATAAACGCTGGGGTGACCGTGCCTTTTCTGCGGCCACAACTCGACTCTGGAATAAGCTCCCACTTGATCTGCGTCAGATTATTGAACTTGGCCCTTTTAAATCGAAGCTTAAGACTTTTTTATTCCAACAAGCTTTTAGTACGTAAATATGTGGTGACATTTCTGGTTTTATTTGTGCTATTATGTTGTGTTTTCTTGCTTTTAACCTATTGTCATTTTAAGTACTGTTTTTTGTTAAGCACTTTGGTCACCATCACCATGGTTGTGTAAAGTGCTATAGAAATAATTAAATAATAATAATAATGTACTGACACCGTCTCCACTATCAGAAATTTTAAAAGCTACCCAAACAGAAAACTATGGCTGAATGCAGAGGTGCGTACCCTGCTGGAAGCCAGGAACATTGCCTTCAGGTCTGGAAACTCAGAGGAGCTGAGTAGGACAAGAAAAGAGCTGGTTGCTGGTATTAAGAAGGCCAAGGCCACATATGCACAAAGGATCGAGGGTCAATTCATCTCACAAGAACCTCGGAGCATGTGGAGGGGCATTAAGTGCATAACAGATTATAATGGAAGGAGCGAACAATGCCCCAAAGACCCATCTCTGCCTGATGCCCTCAACAAGTTCTATGCACGCTTTGAAGACCCGAACAGACCACCCAGCACCAGACTCACCTCACCACCGGATGAAGAGCATCTCAGCGTGACCTCAGCTGAAGTAAGGAGTACCTTCAGGAGGATTAATCCGCACAAAGCAAATGGCCCAGACAACATCCCCGGGAAAGTGTTGAAGGAATGTGCTGTTCAGCTCTGCGAGGTGCTGGCAGACATCTTTAACGCCTCACTTACCCTGGAGACAGTTCCCACCTGCCTGAAGACTGCCACCATCATCCCAGTCCCAAAAAGCTCTACAGTGACTGGTCTGAATGACTATAGGCCAGTGGCCCTCACCCCGATAGTTGCTAAATGCTTCGAAAAACTGGTCATGACTCACATCAA